GCAGCTTTCCTATGGCTAAGTCCCATTTTTCCTATGCTGAATTCCTGACAACCAATGATTCTTAAGAGCTGTCTATCTTTTGACAGGCAATATTTTTTTCTGATTAAAAAGAACCCTGTTACTGTTCTGCAATTATTTTAGTTGTAGTTATCCCAACTCGCCCCTCCTTTTAGGCATAGGCTTGCCCTCAAAGTAGGAGTGTCAACAAACCATCAATAAACCTTGCTGTTCCATAATGGCTTACGGAAAAAGAAGGGAATGCTCCCAGCTCTTCCTGAAATACATTCAAAACAATATTGACTGAGTGCTAGCAAAGTATGCTTGCTTCTCTGGCGCTCAGGAAGTTTATGTCTGACTTTAATTCCAAACGAGCATGCGCCATCAAAACCAGACATTCCAATCCATAGCACAGGTTCCAGTGGTTGGAGAGAGCTACAAGCAGTTTGGCCCTTAGTTGCTGTTTTTCAGTTGCTAGAGATTCTCTTATTCTACTTAACTCTCCTCCCTATACATACAAGCTAACCAGAATTCCCCTGTTCCTATAGTAAAAAATAAGACTAACTAACATTTGTGTAGTGCTTTAAGTGTGGAGAAAAGGCAAGTAGGAAGTCTTTAGTTTAGACAACAGGTCTGAATTTAGATTTCTGCCCCACCCCCCTTCTTCCTCGGCATACAGGTAATGCACTCCTAATCATGAGAAGTCAGGCTGATGGTTTTATTATGCACCAATATGTGCTAGGTACTCAGACAGCAGCTAACACATTTTAATGATGAACTCCATTTTCAGAAGAAGCGAAATTGAAAAAGAAATGGCATAATATGGAGGTATATGCTGAACTAATGCCATTTATTTTTTGATAGTGTTACTGCACTGAAAAACCAGACAACGACATAAAGCACATCAAGATTTCACTAGGCTTTGACAGTATTGCTCATAATTTTTTAGACAAAATGGAGAAATGTGGGCAGAATGATACTGTGTTCTTTTCTTGTGGGACAACCATGCTCAAGGAGGGCTGTTTTCAGCCTGGATAGTATTCTATAAAGGGCTTGCCACATTGTTTTGTATTTGGCCTAATCCTGGTTACCAATTTTCTCTGGGGGCGGGACCGTGGCATCATTGGTTCTTAAAGCTCCATAGATGATTCCAATGCATAACCAAAGAGGAGAACCACTGGTATAGGATGTGTGGTTTACACACTATACTAAATACTGTTTTTAGCATTGATACCAATAACTGTCTTCCAGTGATCCAGTCTTTGATACAGCTTCATAGATGCTTAAAGCAAGGGTAGAAAGAGAACACTTAAAGTTCATTTCAACTTTGATAAAAATTTTAAAAATTACACACAAAGAAGGGTTTCAAAGGGTCTAGTAGGGAGTTCAAGTGGACGTCATTGAGACATTTCACAAATACCAAATCCCACCAAAACCTGTTGATAAGAACAGCTCCATTATGTGTGAGTGCAAAGTTAATAAGGAGGCATACACTTGGTGCTGAGGAGTATAACAAACCAAAGTTTTGTTTTACAAAAATGGTTGTGCCTTCTTATTTAGAATCAGATTATTATATGATAATCCCGGGTTTTAAAAAATATATCTTTGATTAAAAAAAAGTTGAAGATATCAGCAGAGCACCAACATTTGATTTGCGTATCCATAGGGAAAGTTAGATTTTTAATCCTATTTACTTTGGCAAACAGAAGAAACAAGGCACTATATTATTGGAGGTTACACTAAAACTGTTCATGGGTCACAGAACAACATGTCCAAGGCCAATTATGTTGAGTGCAAAGACTTCAGGCAGTGGGGGACGGTCATAAGCTTGTCTCCTCTCTGTCTCTGGAAGGGTACCAACCTCATAACATCAGTACAGTTAATAACTCTCTGACCTTTAAAAGGCATTTTATGAGCAAATTAGGTCAATTAGTACAGAGCAATTTACATTTAAAAAATCCCAACCACTTTATAACTAGAAGGTAAAAGCAGCTAATTTCTTTCATCATCAATATGTTAATAGGCAATATTCATAGAGAGTCTGCTCAGTTGGGAATCACACAAGACACACACACACACACACACACAAACAAACAACCTTCATACGCACAGCCCCAGACTTCAACTTGAACCTCTTCTTTTCAGTTTCACCTGTTCATGGTAATTGTACTGAACCGTACAGAACCCTCCACTCTTTAAGGGGATGGTGGTGCTGCCGGTGTGAAGGGGAAGTTCTTTGGGGAGTAGTGAATCAAATCTCCCTTCATGAGAGAGTATAAAGCACTCTAAGCATACTGTCTCTTTTTCCTTTTTCACTTTTCTAATATATCAATTTCTCTCTCTATATATATATATTTCCTACAAAGAACTGGACACTGTACTAAGTGATTTACACACATTATTCGTTTAGGTTTCACATCAACTCTGCAAGATAGATATTATCCTCATTTTACAGATAGGAAACAGGCTTAGAAAGGTTTTAAGTAACTTGCAGTAGGTCACAGAGTGTGTAGGTTGTGAATCCAGGACACAGCCAAATCTGCCTGACTACTGGACCAATGGTTTTTCATATCAACATGCTACTCTGTCCTCTACCACTCCGTTTTCCTCCTACTTATTTTACTTTCTTCCTTCCACTTCTTTCCACCTGAAAGCCTAAAATGGCAGACAGGTGGTGTGTTAGAAGGATTTTAAAGAAAGAAGAACTAATCTAGCACACTTTTATACCTCTCCTAAAGCTCTGGATGATTCTCTTTCTCCCCACACATGGCCTGGTCACCAGGATCCAAGAAAATGTAGGCTCCCTACAGGCTCATGTTTATATCTTTTTCTCTCCAATCTCCCCATGATTTCAGTGACTACAGTTTTCTAATTCCAAATAAGGGCATATAGTCTGAGACATTGTGTTTTATTTAAGAGAACATGAGGAAAGTGTATTTGACATCAAAACTAAAAAATGTACTTCTGGTGCCTAGGAGAGATAGACTCAGAATAGGACTAGCTCAATATGGACTTGTTGATAGACTAATTGGAGGCTGATCACACACGAAGAGTAATGAGCAAAGTTAGAGCAAATCCTTATCAGTGGAATTCAACGGGGTGGTCTTTCAGACGGATCTTTTTGTTACAGCCTTAATGTAGGCTTCCTGAACCTTGTGGCAAGTACTTGTTTAGATATAAGGCTGTGGATTCTAAGAGACAAGCTGTTAATTATGAGTTCTAATCCCAGGCTAGAAGATGCCTATAAAGATTAAAACTTGTTTCCTTTTTGCTAACAATTAGCAGCCTAGCTAACGAGTGATCAATTGTAATTGGGGGACTGAAGAAGGTAATAAATGCATTACGGAGACTAGTTGCTTTACAGAGCCATTTATTTAATCCTTAAATTTTGCAGGTTGTAAATTACTCATTAGAAGGCAGAAAGCAAAACAGCCATAATCCGTTTAGTGCCTCCAAACTCCTAAGACTTCGAGGAGGAAATCCATGGAAACAAGAGGCCTGATGTGTTCTTTCAGGGCTATTTCTTAATGGGTGAAGGTGGTTAAACAATAAGGAAAAGTCCATGTAATTATCCTGAGGCGCTGGTCCATAGGTCAGGGGTGGACTTGATTAAATTCATGGAGGGCTGACCCACAAACGGTGGGAAAATGCCCCTTCTTTTCCACTCAGCCCTGCAGGCAGCTAATCAATGAGCACATCTCACTTCCAGATTGTTTCATGAGACCAGAGCAATCGCCTATCGCATTCATGAGGACATTCACTCATATCTGTTGTTTTCTAATCAACGCAGGGACTAGAACAAGAGGCCAAGTGCCAGAGAGGAATTAAGAGGAAGCCTGGAGGAGGCTGTCTCCTTCTTCAGACACAGGGAATGCACCTCCTAACCACAAAATGTTCAACTGCAAAAATGACTGGACAATTAGTTCATAGGTCTCTTTACATGCATAGAAACCTACATATATTTAGCTGGAATATAGATTTTATAAGCTTAATGTGAAAACTTTTTTACTTTTACTAAGGACAGTGTTTTTTGTATACCAAGGGTAAAATTCAACTTTAGACTTTTAGTGGTAATGACGCAGACAATATGCAAGATGCCTTTGACACTGGCACTGTGGATGAGTTTTGAGAGTAGAATTTGAATCTGTACGTATTTCCTTTTTCAACATTGTGATGTCTTTTATATATATAAAACACAGCTCCTGGATCGCTGTTAGGCTATGTACAACAAAATAGCTACTGGCTCGCTTTTGCACTGAGCAAGCATTTCTTTCATACTTCTTTGCCTTTTCCCCTCATGATAAACAGCACATCTCTGAATAAAGATGGTAGGGTTAGACTATGAAATGGAGGTTTTCTCTTTGCAGGGGTAACCAGACCACATGAGGATCAAACCTCTGATTTTGCAGTAGCAAACTGACTTACCCAACCCAAACTATTTCCATTCATTTTCTACTTGACAGTCTAATTAAATTTGTGATTTCACCAGGCTGGCGCTCTGTCTATCTCTGTGTTCCATTCAATACCCCTCAAGCTGTTGTTGCTCAATAAATCATTACTGATAATGAAGAAAATCCAATTGAAAAAATTATAGCTGTTCTGGAAATGCATTTATTTACTTTGTTAAAGTAATTATAAAGCAAGTGTTTCCTAGATAGACCATTTAACCATGGCATATGATAAAAATACTCATTCTTCCCACATCTCACTTTTTTTTTTTTTAAAAAAAGCTGCATTTATTTTACAATGGAAAGCTTTCCTCGGGAATTTTAAAGACCCTTGTCTTTAGAGATACTGATATCAATGCACTTTAGAAAACTGTTGAGACATGATAAGATAAACTTTAAAAAGCTCAAAGTAATTTTGAAAATTATAACTTGGTGCGTCTATGTTACTTGTCCCAGGAACGAGCCCATTCTGGTCATTTTTGGTGGAAGCAAGAAATGACATTTAGTCTTTCCCCTTTCCTGCGAATATAGTACCTGAGTTCTCTTCTGACTTACCCTGAGTGGATTTTCGTTAAGGTAAGGGGGTTCACCTTCCACCATTTCAATAGCCATAATTCCCAGAGACCAGATATCAACTTTCGGACCATAAGCTTTTCGAGTGACCACCTCTGGTGCCATCCAATAAGGGGTTCCCACCATAGTGCTTCGTTTACTTTGCTCAGGTGTGATCTGGGCACAGAACCCAAAATCAGCTGCAGAGAAGAAAAGTCAGTTAAAATAAACCCAAATTATTTTCTTTTTACAATAGGTCACTTTCGGATATGGATGTACCTTCCCTTACATGCTGAGCTTCCACAACTGCCTAGCTCGTATCCTTTTGTTACCTGATTTCTCAGCTGGTCCTGATTTTAAAAAGGGTCTGAAATAATTGACTAATGTGATGTCATTTTTAGTATACTTCAATCTAGTCCCCACCGTTACTGTTCCCTCAAACGTACAGAATCTTTTAATTTTCTAATTAGGTATTTGTCATCCATCCATTCTAGAAGTAACTAGAAATTCTGAAATTTTAAATCCCCCAAATTTGGTCACAATCTACAGGAACACAGTGTTAGAAAAATTATTTGCTTCAAACTGGGCTCTAACTGCTTTCAGATCAATCACTTTCAGTAGCCATTATGTTTTCAAGCTAGAAAATAAAAGAGCAGAAGTTCCCTCAAAACACCATCTGAACCAAAATACCTACTCAATTTAACAGAGCCATCCATCCCGAGGAGAATATTGTCACTCTTTATGTCTCTATGGATCACTTGGTTTGAGTGCAAGAAATCCAAAGCTTGGAGGCACTATTAAATCAGAAAAAAAAGGTCTAGTTATATCACAATGAATTTTTTAAGATTCTAAGTTTCATTTCTAGATAAATTTTGGGCAAGGGTATAATTTTATGTTATCAAGTGAAATATATCACTGAATGCTTTAACACCACTTTGGAATCACATTACCAGTTACATCAATGATTCCACTTAGCATTATACATGCTAACTATAATGGCTCCCATGTCAGACTAGGACATGAAGAGTGATAATGTGATAAGCAGCACTAATCATTCACACAGGCAAACTAACCGATGAATATAATTATACTTCGGCCTGGTTATCTGGAAGATAGGAATTCAGCCTGGTCTTTTACATATGTGGTAAACTTCTGTGCACCTGGTACAATTTGATTCAGAACATCTGGAGTGGGACCCAGGAATCTGCATTTAAAATAAATGCCATAAAAGCTATTTTTGAATGACAGCCAGGCTATGAAGGCTCCTAGGCTATGAAGTAACTACAGGTACTTGTTTGGAAATGCCTTTGTATTGTAATACTAGAAGATGGAAACCACAGGCTCAGTGAAGAATGTTCCCTTGAACGACTATAAGTTTGATTTATTGCATGAGTAGAAAACCTATGTGTTTGGTGGATGTGTGTGTGTATGTTTGGGGTGGGGGAAATGGGAATGAGAGGAGAGCAAGGAAGAAGTAGATTTAAGTGAACAATTTAACATAAATAAACAAGCAAAGAGTAGTTGATATCATATTGTTTTGTTTTCCTATCATTGGTTTTCAAGTTTCAGTGAGTTGGAGTTCCTACTTTTGTCTATAGAAAACCTCATCACAATGAATGGGGTACACGAGACTCCAATGAAAACTGTGTGGTTTTATAAATATCAAAAAACTAAATATAATAAAGTATCTTTAATTTAGCCTGATGCTAGGGATATGACACTGTGATTGGAAAACAGACAGACCCTGAGGTCCCCTGGAGGACTATGAGGGATGTTCAAATTATATTGTGAAAGAAACTCATTTCTGGTCTGAGGGAGGATCTTATTTTTTTTTTTAATCTTTAAGTTTTCTAAATAAATTATCTTTTTTAAATTTCAGGACCTTATTTAAATTGCCTCCTAGAAAATGATGAGAATATAATGTGGTTTGTATTTTACGTAGCTCACATTGCACATGCAAGACAAAATAACTATCATGTAAAAATCCCCCCAAATAAGAAAGAAGTTCCATGCTAATATCATTCTTTTTCCATGTTCACTGAGACTACAGCATGTGGGCTTAGATATGGTACCTCAAGAATGGCATAACAGAACTCAAAATCCATACAAAAGCAACTAAAATAAACAAGAGGTTGGCAAGGGTAGTGCAGAAGAATGATATTAGGTTAGAATTTAAATTAAAGTTAGGCTCTCGAATTTTTTTTTTAGTAGAAAAGTTCTGCTATTGTTACTTTCTTACAAGCATTCTCAATTATCAAAAATAAGGAACTGCCAATTTTGGTGTTCTTCTCAGCTAGAAATGCTCTATTTTCTTACCTCTCTGCAGACAGCTGCTATCTGTCCTTCATCCATACAGGTCTCCGTGACCACATCAGTCAACGAGCCACCAGCCAAGTATTCCATGACTACCCATAGTTCATCGCCCACTAAGTAGCTATAACAATAAAAAACAAGACTTTGACTTGGGACTAAGGAAATGAGGACTGTAACATTTCCAGGCCTCAGTTCTGACGGAATTCAATTGTGAGTTGTGCCATGACCATTATCTTTAAGAAGTTACTGAGGAACATACCCCAAGTGATCAAATATGGAGACAAGGGTCGCCAGAGCCCTACAATTCAGGCAAAGAGAGCATGAGGTTATTCAAATCACCTAGGACCATGGGAAGGCACTTTAGCAGTATTATCAGATCTGTCTGGCTCCCTGCTCAGCAAGAGAGAGAAATTACAGGAAATGGAATGACCTTAATGTTTCTACCCTGTTCTAAGACCCACAGGATAGAAGCAAGACTTTCTATCCTGTGGTATTCAAACTGTAGCGTCCATAAGAGTCACTTGGGAAGCCTGTTACAAATGAAAATTCACATGCCCCATTTCATTAATTATGGAGAGCAGCTTAGAAATCTGCATTTTTTTATAAGTGAAAATGCAAGTTTTACAAAATTACAAACACAGAGTGACTTTAGGTCACTCTGCTGCAGGTAGTCCCTGAATGACACTTTATGAAACACTCAAGATTTGACCGTCCATTTTCCTCCTCTTTTTTTCTCCTTCTGTATCATGGTCTACCTGGCCCAAAACACAGAAAGCAAGATCTTAAGCTCACTGAGGTTGAAGACCTAGCTTTATTTCCTTTGTATACCCCCAGAGAACACAGCACAGTGGTGCTAAACAAACACTTATTGAAATTGAATGAGACAGATGTTAACCACAAGTGAAGAGTTAGTGCTGTCTTTAAATGCCTATTTATAACACACTGTTAATACCACTGATGAAAGAGACATTAATTACCTGGTTTAGGAAAAAGGTTTGAGATTAAAGTCTCAATTCCCTAGACCTCACTGTCAGTTAATCACAAAGCACCCATTAAAGCAGGGCCATTGTAGTCAGCCTTCTTCACTTAGACTCCCAGAGACTGTACTGGCTCCAAACAAACACTTGATGAAATGTTTAAAACACCACTGCTCTCTCTTATATGCAATAGTCTATTTCCTGCCAACATGGAGCCACGATCCTCAAAAGGAAATTACACAAACTGCTTATGTTTGAACAAAGACCATAAAATGTTTCTTCAAGTATTTGACGGGTGGACAAAGATAAGTGGGTGAAAGTTCAGCAATAGATCCAACACTCTACTTCTTTGTAGCATTTGAGAAATATTTGTAGAATGACTGTTAAATGAATAGATCCCAAAAAAGTAATTTGCAAAGAAAGTGACAACCCATAAAGAGAACAAGTACATAGTGAGAAAAAAAACCACTTACCTATCTAAATAATTAACAATATTGGGGTTCTTATTTTCCCTCATGACTAGGATTTCATTAATAATTAATTCTTTTTTGGGTTGCTGTTGAAGGTTCATCTGCTTTATGGCCACCTGAATGATGATTAAAGTACAAGAATGAATCACAATCATTACAATAAACATAAGCATCCATTTTTTTGGGACACAGAGTAAGGCATACAAATTATTTATCTACTGAGCTCTTTATACGTGCCACAAAACTATGCCTGTTTTCTTTGGTCAATCCTGGGTCAACTATCCACTTAAGATGCTTCAAATGCTTTACCCAGTGCTACCCATTTTTTTCCAGCATAGATGCCATCAAAGAAGAAACCTGATAAATATGAATAAAGGAAAATAAAAATCAGGATTGAATGTTAGCACTTACCTCTTGTCCTGTTGCAATGTCTAGCGCTGTATAAACAGTACCTGATGCCCTGTGAAGGTGAAAATTATCAAATGAATAGGCAATCAAGGTGTTACCAATATATTTTGTTTGAAATAAAATGTAGTTATTTTCATGAGAGGAAAATTAGCAAACTCAAGATGAAAGAACGGAGTAAAAAAAGGAACAACCTTTAAAAATTATTATTGTGGTAAGAAAAAAGAATACTTAACATGAGTTCTACTCTCTTAACAAATCTTTAAGTGCACAATATTGGAACAATCCTTGTAGGCAGAAATTGCACCTGAAACAATCACAATGTATCCCTTGTGGTGGGCTAGGAACTCCAGTCAGACTTTCTGGCACCGGGTCATGTGTCATGCACTATGCAGTAATGAATTGAGCAAAATGGCCTTGCTCCTGTGAGGAAATTCCTGGATATTCTGAATATTCCTTGAATCTTACGACAACCAACATTGCAGGCCTCTGATTAAAGCAAAGTATAGGTTAGGAAAGAATATATCATCTTTTGCTTAGGCAAGTGTAAGTTAACTTCCACTTTTAGCATAGAAACAGAGTGGCTTTTTTCATATATTTCAAAATTTTTAAGAATATCTTCATCTAACAAATCACTCACTCTCAATGCTGTACCTATACTATAGCTACACAAAGCAACTACAATGTGGCTTTACTATTTGAGCCATTGTTTTTTCTTTTTGCTAAATTTATCAACAACTTCTACTATGAAGTGTCACTCTAGTCCAATATGCCTTTAAAATCTCATTCCTTAAGATTTGGTAGTACTCATACTTCCATTTTCATTTTAATTACTGGGTTCCCTTGCTTTGCAAATATAAATTACATAGTAAGCTGAATTCACAGTAACTTTCTGTGAATCCCACATGCATTCTAAACCACCTCCTACTCCTACTTCCAATAAAAAGAAAAACAATAGTTAATTTCATTTGTGGTAGATAAAGAAATTAGGATAGAAATCAGTCCTTTGATTCACTAGGTATTGTAATGCTCCAACATTGCTATGTAAACTTTCTGGTAATTATTGTTTCTCCCTTGCTCTTTATTTATCCCTTGCTGTTTTGTTTTCTGAGTCCAGGGATTCTTATCTTATGTCAGGTATTTCCTTATAATTCTTTTCCCTTCTCCCTGGATGAGCCAAAATATGTCTCACAAGCCTAAGAAGTTTATATTACCTGCTTCCAGGGAGTAAACTGGGTAGGGTAGTATAAGGACTATTTGGCAATCAGTAGAAATCTGAGTTTTATTATTTGCCCTAACATTAACAAACTATGTGACCTTGGACTAGTCATTTCCCCTCACTGAGTTTCAGTCCCCTCACATGGAAAATAGTAATCACAATAACAGTAAACATGTATTGAGCATGTGTGTGTGTCAGAATCTGCACTAAGAACTTTATAGAATTTATCTTATATAATCCTTACCATATATCTATAAGGCAAGTGCTATTACTCCCATGTTACAGATGAGGAACCTGAGGCTCAGAGAGGTTAAGTAACTTGCCCAAGTTTATACAGTTTACAATCCAAGTCCGTCTGACTCTCTCACCTGTAAATTACAGGAAATGCGCTACTTTATTTCTAAGGTTCTTTAATTCTATGATCCATAATCTACAACTCTACTGCCCTACTCATTCTGTTTGAGTTTTTAAATATCTATTGGAACCAGGCTGAAAATCACACTTAATCAATAGGTGCCACCTAAATCAGGATTTGGTAATTCTAGAAATTTCTTAGCCTTGAGGTTTGTATCAAATAAATATATCTCTCACTTTTGTATGTTTGAGATTCTGGGTTCAGGGCACATAGCTGGTGCCCAATAATTGTTTGTTGAATGAAAAACTTAATAAAAATCTTTTCAAGCAAACATGCCATTGCAATATGACCTTTACTTTCTGTGTAAAGGTCTACTTTTTTTTCTACTTAAAACGCTTTCCTCTTAGAATAGGCTATCAGACATTCCTGGCTTCAGGGGCCAGTGTCTGATATGTCCTTCCGAACTCATTTGAGTTCAAAGGAATAGATCACCTTGACTCGATGTGCATTTCAGTTACAATAGGCCCTTACCAAGTACTTAAATATAATTGGAAAATATGATTTTAAAATGCCTTTATTTGGTTTATTCCCATGTATTTATGCCATATGCACATTTCCTTTACGTGCAAAAGAATGACAGTATTTGTCAAATGAGATAATAATGGTAACTATCTCATAGGACTACAGAGAATTGAATGGCACAATTTATTTAAGCATTTAGCCCTGTGCCGCATCAGAGTTGATGCTTAATATGGTAACTGCTATTATTATTATTTGTTGTTGTTGTTATTGGTTTCACAGTAGCGGATGGATGACTGATTCACTGAACTGTTAGTTGGCCCCTCCTAACATCCCAGCCAAAAAGTCCTTGCTAGTGTCTGACGCTATTTAAAAAAAAAACAAAAAACAAAAAACAGAGGCTGAGGTGAACTACTGGAACACTTTTTAGAGGTTCCACATCATTTTTTTTCCCCTAGTGAAGTGGTTTTGCCTTTTTCTTTTAAACTCGAAACACCTTTATCAAATGAAACTGTATGCAGAAACTCTCAATATATTAAACAAATAAAATGCGAGTCGCTCCAGTTAAACTTAGGGAGGGAGGCCCAAATGCCTGCCCAGGTGGCCTTTCCTTTATTCACCCCTTTCCTTCCAAACCCCAACCCCATTTCCACTTGTACTAGGGGCTAAAATTGTGATTGACTTGGAGTGCAAGGGGGATTAGTGTTTAACATCTCCAGAGCTTTACCTTTCAAATCCCTGGGGTTTTTTTTCCCCCACCCCCCTCAGCACTTCATTGTTTTTAAATTGCTAGAGTCCTAATACCGGAATCTCAATATCCTGGGTTTTGTGGCATTCAGTGGTGTAGAATTGCTACAAATTCCTAATCCACAGAGTGTTAAACACCCTGAAACTCTAGAGCATCAGTTATTAACTAAAAATGAGCTTTTCTCCTCACTTCCTCTTCCCTCACCTTATTGTATATATGCAATTATCGAGAGGAAGCCATTTTTCCCTTTCCCTCACCCTTGTACCTTGTCTTAGAACGGTGATATACTCCCCCACCTCACCTGCCAACCCCCCAAACCAAACATGTTGTTAGATGGTTGGAATCCACTGCTCTGACCAATAAACTATTGGTTTGTCCAACTTCTAGCCTCTTCAGAACCCTCAACTCAAATGTACAAATTCAGGTACTAACCTGGGATTAAAACTTAGTATCTTATCCCCAGCTCCATCTTAGCACCCTTAACATTTCTTAGCATCCCAGTTCTGATGCCTCTCCACATCCTAACAATTTAAGATTCAACTGATATAAACATGAATGTCTCCTTCAAGAGATCTTAATCTCCTTAAACATTCATCTGTTAAAGCACTCTCATTGCTCACTGCTGGGTTGAGAACAATAGTCTTCAATCCCATGCACTCAAACCTCCCCTGGTTCAAATCCTACCAGTTCCTTGTTGTATGACCCTGGGTAAGTAATTTGATCAGAATGTGGCTCAGTATTAAATGAAGATTAAATGTATATGGTACTTAAAATGTATATGGACCTGGCATACAGTAATTGCCCAATAAATATTACCAATAATGATAATTATTATTATTTGGTGGATTGTTCCCTAATATATTTGTTAAGTTCCCAAATTGTAGTCTGTGGATCACTAGGAAGCTCTTTAACTGTCTTTAAGTGTCTGAGAGTTTTAAAGATATTCAATGTTTCAAAATTCATAACAAAAATTCAACATTTACCTAAGTAAAACTAATTCAAATATCAAATATATTTCCTTTTTGCTAGAATTATATCAACTTGTGATTATGTTGGATAGCACATCCTGACCAAGAGCTCGAAGCAGCAGATACATGTATTTTTTTACTTAATAAAGTACAAGAGGAGGGGCCAAGATGGCAGACTAGAAGCAGCCTGCACTCGTTCGCAAGGAGAGGATCAAAGGTTGCAGGTAGAGGTTCACCTGTGGATGGACCATCTCGGAGAGGGCAGTGTGAATCATCACAGAAACGACTAGAGACACATAAAGTGTGGGGGAGAGAAGCAGGGTGATCCGCTCGGCAAGATGAGAAGGTAACTTGGGGAAGCATCCACACACAGGGAAGGGTTAGGGAAGAGATCCCCAGGGCTCTGCACTTGCCCCACAGACACTGAAATCTAAGCTGAAAGGGGGCTCCCCCAACACAGGAGGCCTCCAAACTGATCAAGGAGCTGGTATTGCACCGGAGAGCAGGTATAGTGGGGTCCAGCCAACTTCTGGTCCGAGGTCGCAACAACAGACTCCAATCTCCGACGTCAGCCCCAAAACACCGGGTCTGCAGAGGGGTCAGCTCCATTGCAGCTGCCTCTTCATTACCTCTGCCAGGTCAGAGAGTGGCGAGGAGAGCTCCAGCCACCGTGACTCCTTGGCAGTGTGCTGAATATCACCCCACCCTGCCAGATGCAAATGGCCCAGATGCTGTGGCCTGAGGAGCTACTCCATCACTGGCTGTGGTCCCACAACCTGCCCAGGCAGTGGCCAAGATCCTTGTCCTGTCCAGTCACCTGACAAAGTACGGCAACCTTGCCCCACCACGGGCTGTGGTCCTGCCATGTGCCCAGGTACTTGCCAAGGTCTCACAACCCGCCCAGGCTCTAGCCAAGGTCCCATGAGCCACCCAGGTGCCAGCCAAGGTCCTGTGACCTGCCACTTACTTGCTGCAGTCCTGTGACAAACCCGGGCATCTGTCAAGGTCCTAGAACATGCCCCACAACTGGCTGCAGTCCAGGGTGCAACCAGGAACCCACCAAGGTCCCATGACCCACCCAGGTGCCAGCCAAGATCAAGCCACCTGCTTGCCTCCACAGAGAGGACTTGCCCAGTCCCCTGCCCAAGCTTTCAACAGCAGCCTGGGGATCAACCCACCAATCTGAACAAATAACCCCCAGCACTGGCCTGGGCTGCGACAGCCACAGGGGAATAGGACAATGTAG